CCTCCACTGAAAGCGATTTTTTTTTCCTGACCGGAGCGCGAGTTGCCCCTGCCCGAGGCGCGCCCCGTGGGCCGCCCTCTCGTAGCGCCCCCTGCCCTTAGCGGCCTGTCGCGCCCTCCTAGAGGTTCCTCTCACGGCCCCTCGCGCCACCCTTAGCGGCCCTGTCGCCACCCCTACCGGCCCCGTCGCCGCCCTTCTAGGCCCCTCGCGGCCCCCTCGCGGCCCCGTCGCCGCCCCTAGCGGCCCCGTCGCCACCCCTCGAGGCCCCTCGCGGCCCCTTCGCGGCCCCCTCGCCGCCCCTAGCGGCCCCGTCGCTGCTCCTCGAGGCCCCTCGCGGCCCCTTTGCGGCCCCGTCGCCGCCCCTAGTGGCCCCGTCGCCGCCCTTCGAGGCCCCTCGTGGCTCCCTTTGCGGCCCCGTGGCCGCCCCTATCGGCCCCGTGGCCGCCCCTCGCGGCCCCTTCGCGGCCCCGTCGCCGCCCCTAGCGGCCCCGTCGCCGCCCTTCGAGGCCCCTCGTGGCCCCTTTGCGGCCCCGTCGCCGCCCCTTGCGGCCCCGTCGCCGCTCCTTCCAGCCCCTTCACCGCCGAGCCGCCAAGCAACCACGCAGCTGTACCACCGAGCCGCCAAACTGCCGAGCCGCCGAGCCGCCGTACCGCCGAGCCGCCGAGCCGCCGAGCCGCCAAGCAGCCGAGCCGCCGAGCCGCCGTCAAGACGCCACTACCGAGCCGCTGCCGCCGAGCCACTACCGAGTTGCTTCCACCGCGGTTACAGCCCTGTTCCTATCGGCGCGCCCCGGCCCTACCCACCCGGACTGGTGAGAGCACTCCCTGCTAGACCACTTCTGTTATGGCTACCCCAAGTGTCCTTACCTTTGATGCTGAGGGTCGTGCTGTTGACTTTGAGGTCTGGGTCGATGACCTACAGCTCTTCCTATAGTGCAATAGAGCAGACGGACTCTCCCTGTTCGATCTCAACTCTGGTGCCTCTCCTGCCGCGCCTGCTGATACTGACAGCACTGTTCGCTCACATTGGGCCACACGCGATGCTGCTGCCCTTCTTGCTGTGCGTCTCCACTTACCAACCGCTGAGCGTGCGCACTACAGTCAGTACAAGAGTGCTAGGACCTTGTACGACACTGTTGTTGCACGCTACTCTTCCCCTGCCACTGCTGCCCTTAGCCGCCTCATGCTGCCGTACCTGTTCCCTGACCTTGCTGCCTTTCCCACAGTCGCTGACCTCATTACTCACCTTCGCACTAGTGACTCCCGCTACCGCGCTGCGCCTCCTGCTGAGTTCTGTGCCAAGAACCCTCCCCCCATGTACATCACCCTCTACTACATAGTCACCCGGCTCCCTGACTCCCTTCGCTTAGTCAGTGACCACTTCCTCTTAGTTTGCCCCACCACACTCACCGTTGACCTCCTCGAGGAGCGCCTCTTGGAAGTAGAGAAGAGCATAGTCGCGGTAGGAGCCTCTCGTCGTGACCCTTGTACCCCCGTCTTTGAGGGGTGTCCCCCCTCCCCCCTCTTGCCCTCTGTTGCTTCTGCTGCTGCGGCCGACCTCGTTGGTTTTGAGTCGGTCGGAGCTGCGTCTGCCTCTAGTGGGAGACACCGCACCGGCAAGGGCAAGGGGGGCAAGGGCGCTGGAGGGGCTGGCGGGGGCGGTGGAGGCGGCGGTGGAGGCAGTGGAGGGGGTGGGGGTGGTGGTGGGAGTGGTGGCGGGGGTGGAGGTGTCGGTGGCACCAGTGGAGGCGGTGGAGGTGGTGGTGGGAGCAGAGGCGGCGGAGGTGGCGGCGGCGGCGGCGGCGGCAGCGGTGGAGCTGGTCACGGCTCTGCGCAAAGGAGTGGCTCTTGTGGTGGTCCGTGCCAGCTGCAGCAGCGCACTCGTGAGACCCCGTCCCCCCAGCAGCTTCGTGAGTGGTACGCTGCGCGTCAGCGAGGTGGGGGTACTGGTCCCTGTACCTACGTCCTCCGTACCGGCGACCGCGCTGGTGAGTAGTGCGGGGGCTCGCACTCCACCCAGCGCTGCTTCGGCCACCTGACGGACGCTTGGCGTTATCAGTTCGCTGACGCCACTGAGATCCTTCGCTGGGGAGAGCTGTCTAGGGCGGGGGTTGCTATCTTTGATCTTGACTTTGATGCTATTCTTGCTGCCATGTATGCTGTGTCTACTAGTTATGAGGGTGACTGTTACTTTTGCGTTCCGCCTGACCCGGGCATTGAGGCTGCTGCTCTAGGTGCTGGTGAGGCTGCTGCTCTAGGTGCTAGTGCGTCTGCTGCCCCAGGTGCTGGTGAGTCTGCTCTCTCAGGTATCACGCCGGCTCAGGCCTTACACACCTTCACCCTTGATTCGGGTGCTTCCCGCTCCCTCTTTCGAGACCGCACCACGCTTACGCCGCTTAGTCGGCCGGTTGCGATCTCCCTGGCGGACCCCTCTTGTGAGAGTACGACGACTTATGCCAGCTATGCTTGCTTGCCTTTACTTAATCATGTTTTTTGTAGCATAGGATAAGTATATGCATGCATGAATTGCTTGCGTTCCTAGGCTAGGTGCTTTCCCATATTTTATTGTAGTTATAGCACCGAGCTAGCATACGTTTACCCGAATTCTGGCTTTTCGGCGGCCACTGAATTGCCTTCTATCAAATTCGGTAAGGATCTGTTCGGGACGCTTCGCGACCCGCGGAACCTTAGCGTAACACCTGGTTACGGGGCCTTGTGTCGAGCCTATATATAGCCTCTTGTTGTACCCAGGTGATTCATTCAATTCAATTCAATTCACATTCTCTTTTCTGAGCTCGATCCTAGATCCTCACACTTGGTAATCAGAGCCGGTTTTCACGCGAGGTCTTCAACCACTTCGTTCTGACCTTTAAAAAACCGCGGGGGCGACGACGGAAGCGCCGATACGGGTATGTAAATACAGTTCCGCGCAATTTTTCTAAGTCCCCCTCGATTCGGTTTTCGAACACCCCTCAGATTTAGGGTAAGGGAAAGTTGGGTACAAGTGCAAACCCTAGAAAGATGTACCCCATATGTGCTACCCCACTATAGCCTACAGTAGTTATGTCATATAAATCTGACATACCCCCATAGGCAAAGAAGGGGAGAACAAGGGGTCACAAGACCAGTCAAGCAAAGCGAAGCAAGCTCAGGGTGGATCACAAAGTCACCACACATTCCGAGCAAAAGTTCAAGGCCACAAGGCCAGTTCACCTGCAGGATTACATATATATATATATAAGGCTAGACAAGCAAGAGCAGGTGTTTATATATATGCAACAGTACAAACAAAGTCAAGGGGTGAGCAAGTGAGGTAAGGTAAGCACAAGACCCAGTTGAGTACAGAAGCGCTGATGATCACAAGGCGCAAGTGCCTTGGTGAAGATATCAGTAGTGTTGGCCTCAGAGGCCACGTACGCAAGGCGCAGCTGACCACGTTGCTGCAGCTCACGAGCAAGGAAGTAGCGGAGAGCAATGTGCTTCGTTCTGTGCTCCAGTCTCTGCTCTCGACACAAGGCCAGCATGGCCTTGTTGTCTACGTACAACACTGGAGGAGAACGAGGCGGCTCTCCGAGGTCAGTCAGCAGGTAGGTGAGCCAGCAAAGCTCCCGTGCAGCCATGGCCCCCGCGTAGATCTCAGCCTTACAACTGGAGCCGAGAACAGAAGACGAGCGGGTAGCCCGCCACAAAACAGAGCCGGAACCAAGGCTGAAGGTGTAACCCTGTGACGACCGCTGCGTAGCCTGGTCGTTAGCCCAAGAAGCGTCTGCGTGCCCAGTGAGGACCACTGGACTCTGCCCTCCAAGCACAAGCCCCATGCCCGATGTACTGCACAAGTAGCGCAACACCCTCTTCGCTGCAGCCATGTGCTCCGGTCTGTGTCTCCCAGGAGCAACATAGCGTGCGAGAATGCTAAGAGGGTATGCAAGGTCAGGTCGTGTGCAGGTCATCAGGTACATGAGGTAGCCAACAAGCTCTGGGTACGGGCCACTCGACTCTACGGACTCATCCGAAGGCAGAGCTGAGAGCGAGTGGCGAGTAGGCAGAGGAGTGGCCTGAGGCGAGGAGTACGTGAAGCCGAAGTGCTGAAGGACCTGCTGCACCATGTGTGACTGAGTCAGGGTAATGGTGCGGCGCGCTTTGTCGTGGATGATCTGCAAGCCAAGGTAGTTGCGCAGTTCACCCAGGTCTATGCACGTGTCTCTTCTGCAGCTCGGACTTCACGTGGGCGAGTCCAGCAGTGTCAGCTGTGGCAAAGACCAAGTCGTCAACGTACACGAGGATGTAGAACGGCGGCAAAGAAGTGTCGGTGCGCAGAAACAGCGACGGGTCGGCAGTAGAGGGAGCAAACCCAAGAGCCGCAAGTGTACTCCTCAGTGTGTCGTGCCACTCACGCAGTGCCTGGCGGAGACGGTAGACTGGCCGCCGGAGGCTCCACTGGGTGCCAGGAGGAAAAGATCCAGTGAAGCCAGGTGGGCGATGTAGCCAGTGAGAAATTTAGAAGAAAGAAGGGGTTGCACTAGCAAGAATGAGGATACAAATAGCAAACCCTAGAAGGGTTGTACTCGCTATAGAGCACCCCACTACAGGCTAGAGCATAATATTCTGACAGCCAGATCTCCTCGTGCGGGCTGCCCTGCAGGAAAGCTGTGCTGAAGTCAAGAGAGTGTAGCCCGTAGTCGCGGTGAGCAGCTATGTGCAGCAGTACCCGAAGAGTGGTCATCTTCGGGGTGGGAGAGAAGGTCTGAAAGTAGTCAACTCCCTGCCGCTGACTGAAGCCACGTGCCACGTAACGCGCCTTGAAGACAGGCAGAGAACCCGGCGGCCGCTTCACCCTGAAAATCCACATGCCACTGACGATGTTTGCCCCAGGCGAGGGAACCTCATCAACGTAGGTGCCTATGGACTTCCAGGAAGCCATCTCTGTGTCCATAGCTGCCTGCCACTGAGAGGAGTAGGGATCCTCTATCGCCTCCGCGTAAGAGCGCGGAGTCGGGATGTCAAGTGCATCCTGGTCTCCCTCAGGGGTAAGCAGTACGGACACGAGATGAGGTAAAGCAGTAGCCAAACACTGGAACTCCTCCCGCCTGTCCTCAAGGACGTCCGTGCCAAGGGCACACTCACCCCCGACGGACGGAGGACAGACTGACTCAAACTCAGCAACAAGACTAGCAGCGTAGTCTAGGCGACAACGAGCAGCAAAGTCGACGAGCTCAGCAACAAGAGCACACGCAGCTGTGGACTCAAAGGAAGGGTCAGTGACGACAGTAGCAAGGAGACGCGTGACAGTAGGACTGGCAGCACGAGGAGAGTCCGACTCCGGGGCGGCAAGAGCAGGAAGAGAGGACTCAGGAGGAGAAGGCAAAGGGGCACGCAGAGGAGAAGTGGACGGACGTAGAAACATCTGGTGCATGCCAGGAACAGGAGGAGGACGCTGACGCGAACCACGACCACTGGTGCGAGCAGGACGGACAAGCGACGCAGGGCGAGACGCAGGCTCACGACGCTCAGCAAGACCTCCAGTAGGACCAGTGTAGGGAGAAGGAGCAGGTAGTGGGGAGGCCGGCTGTAACTGTAACTGTGACGGGACAGGCTGTGGACACTCGAAGGGAGGAGGAGGACCAGTAGAAGGCGGGAGACCAAGAACCTGCTGAAGGAGCGGAACGAAGTACGGCCGAGGCCGCGCGGCGACTCCAGACACAGCAGGGACAGCACTAGTACCCCCAGCGGCAGCACCAGCACCAGCAGCACCTCCAGCTCCAATACCTCCAGCAGCACAAGTAGCACCCCCAGCAGGACCACCTCCAGGACCGACAGCAGTAGCCTCAGCGCCAACACCCTCAGCACCTCCACCTCCAGTCGTACCCGCAGGCCCAGCAGCTCCAGTACTCCCAGTACGAGCACCTCTGGGACCCGCGGCACCAGCACCCTCAGCAGCCAAAGAACCTCCAGCTCCAGCAGAACGCCTCCAGCGCCGGGCAAACCACTCGCGCTGATCCTGTCGAGAGAGTGGCTCCCACCGAGACGAAGCACCCGGAGAACCTCCAGGCCCAGCACCGTCAGACGCCACACGAGAAGGCCCAGCTCCCTCAGGCTCCGCACCCCCAAGCTCAGCACCTCCAGGCGTAGCACCCCCACGCTCAGCACCCCCAGGCGTAGCACCCCCAGGCTCAGCACCCCAAGTAGTACCATCCTCAGGCTCAGCACCCCAAGGCGTAGCACCCACACGCTCAGCACCCCCAGAGTCAGCACCCCCAGGCTCACCACCCTCAGCAGCACCAGAGTCACCAGTAACCTCGACAGGCTCGACTACGTCTACCTGGGACACACCTGAAGGGGTAGGACCCTGAGGGGTGAGGGGGTCTACCGAAGGGGGACCTGACACAAGGAAGAGCGGTGGTGGGGGGAGGGACGGAGTGCGGTAGGGGAAGAGGCGGTAGTTGGGGAACGAGTCGTCAAACGTGACGTCCTGGGAGGACAGAACACGGCGAGAGGTGGGGTGGTAGAACTCCCACCGTGGCGGGTCAGGGGGGAAGCTAAGGAAGACGCAAGGAGCAGCACGAGGGGACAGCTTCTCCGCAGACAAATCGCGGACAAACGCCCGAGATCCCAAGACACGGAACGCAGATGCATCGCCAACCTTCCCCGTCCACAGCAAAGCTGGGGAGGTCTCCGGCATGGAGACCCTGGGGTGAAGGTTGATCTGATGCGCCGCGTACCGAACCGCAAACGGCCACAGAAAATGGGGGGCAGCCGCATGCATCATGGACGTACGGGCGACGTCCATGACCATGCCAATGCGGCGCTCACCAATCCCATTTTGCTGTGGAGATTCCGGAAGCGTGAAGGTCTGGCGGATGCCTTGTGCACGATAGTAGGCTCGCAAAAGGCCAGAGGAGAACTCTCCGCCTCTGTCAGAGTGCAGACGCAGAACAGGAAAGTCCGAGCCGAAGCTCCGCCTGAGCTGGAGACGAGCTGGGCGGATCCAGTCGATCAACACCTCAGTGATATCACCCTTGCTACGCAAGGGGAAGACTCTGGTGTAACGCGAGCAGTTGTCAACCACCAGCAGGAAGTAGTGCTCGTGACCCTGTCCACGGACGCGGGCCGGGCCCCACACGTCCATGTGAAGCGTCTGCAGCGGGGTCTTTGTCGGAGGAAACTGGGAGGAGTGAGGGGCAGCCCGCAGCCGCCCCTCGACACAGGGGACGCAGGTAGGGCCACGCCCCGGAGGAAGGGGAGGGAGGGACCGGGGAAGACCAGAGACAGGGACACTGGAGGCCATGCCTCGGAGACGAAGCAGGCGGCCGACGTGTAAACGTGTCCAGGTGGCGGCCTGTCCGAGCGTCCGTGCAGTGGGTCACTCGCTGACTCGCAGGAGTGAACTAGTGAACCCTTGCATCCTGTAGGTCAGCACCACTCACCAAGTTCGTAGAGAACGAGGGGAGGTATAGACCAGACATGGTGCCAGAGGGGGCCGCCGGACACGGGAGGACAGTGGAGTAGTGAGCAATGACAAGACCCCCAGAGGGGTCTGCCAAAGCGGCGTGAGTGTGGTGCGGTCTCGAAAGAAGGAGCGAGAAGCCCCCGAGTCAAGGGTGAAAGTGTGGGAGGCCGAAGCTGACGCAGTACCTAAGAGAGCAGACTCACCAACACCTGAAGGAGCAGACACACAAGCACCTAGAGCAGCAGCCTCGCTAGCACCTAGAGCAGCAGCCTCACCAGTACCTAGAGCAGCAGTCTGAATGCCCGGGTCGGGCGGAAAACACCGGTAACAGTCGCCCTCATCACTAATAGTCACAGCATAGATGGCAGCAAGAATAGCATCAAAGTCAAGGTCAAAGACACCTACTCCCGCCCTAGACAGCTCGCCCTAGCGGGGGATCTCAGTGGCCTCCGGGAACTGGTGACGCCAAGCGTCCGTCAGGCGGCCAAAGCAACGCTGGGTGGAGTGCGCACCCCCGCACTGTTTACCCGCGCGGTCGCCGGTGGGTAGGACGTAGGTGCACGGACCAGTACCCCCACCCCGCTGGCGTGCAGCGTACCACTCACGGAGTTGCTCAGGGGGAGGGATGTCACGAGTGCGCTGCTGCTGCTGGCGCTGACCACCACCGGAGCCGACCCTCTGCGCAATGCCACCCCGACCAGCTCCACCTCCTCCGCCGCCGCCTCCTCCACCGCCGCCACCTCCGCCACCTCCGCTCCCACCGCCACCGCCGCCGCCGCCTCCGCCTCCACTGCCGCCACCGACACCTCCACCCCCGCCACCACCCCCACCGCCACCCCCACCCCCCCTCGCCGCCTCCACCGCCGCCTCCACCGCCCCCGCTAGCTCCTCCAGCGCCCCTACCCCCCTTGCCCTTGCCAGGGCGGCGTCTCCCGCTAGGGGTAGATGCCGCACCGACCGATTCAAGACCAACGAGGTCGGCCGCAGCAGCAGAGGCAACAGAGGGCAAAACGGGGGAGGGGGAACACCCCTCAAAGATGGGGGTGCGAGGGTCACTACGAGTCAGGGAGCCGGGTGACTATGTAGTAGAGGGTGATGTACATGGGGGGGGGGGGGTTCTTGGCGCAGAACTTAGCAGGAAGCGCAGCGCGGTAGCGAGTGTCACTAGTGCGGAGGTGTGTAATGAGGTCAGTGACTGTGGGAAAGGCAAGAAGGTCAGGGAAGAGGTACGGTAGCATGAGGCGGCTCAGTGTAGCAGTGGCAGGGGAGGAGTAGCGTGCAACTACATCGTCGTACAGGGTCTGAGCACTCTTGTATTGCCTAAAGTGCGCACGTTCAGAGGTAGGCAGGTGGCGACGCACAGCAAGACGTGCAGTAGCATCGGCATCAGCAGTAGGGGCAGGAGAGGCACCAGAGGTGAGGTAAAAGAGGGAGAGACCGTCAGCCCTATCGCACTGTAGGAAAAGCTACACGTCATCTACCCAGACGTCAAAGTCAATGGCCCGACCCTCAGCGTCAAAAGCGAGGACACTAGGGGTAGCCATGACAGCAGTAGACTAGTAGCGCGAACAGTAGGGTAAGGGCAGTGCAGTGAAAGAGGCGCTGCTCTTACCGGAAAGGGCGGCTCGGGCGGCTCGGCGGCTCGGGCGGCTCGGGCGGCTCGGCGGTAAGGCGGCTCGGCAGCAACTGCAGCTCGGCGGCTCGGCTACCCGGCGGCTCGGGCGGCTCAGGTGGCGCGGTGGCTCGGGCGGCTCGGGTGGATCGGGTGGCTCGGCAGCAGCTCGGCGGCGCCGGCGGCTCGGTGGTGACGGCGGGGCCGCGTGGGGATGGCGGCGGGGCCGGGTGGAGCGGCGGCGGGGCCGGGTGGAGCGGCGTCGGGGCCAGTAGAGGCGGCGCCGGGGCCGGGAAGGGCAGCTCCGGGGCCGCAGGGGTAGGCGACGGGGCCAGCTGGGGCGGCGCCGAGGCAGGGAAGGGCGGCGCTGGGGCCGCAGGGGTAGGCGACGAGGCCGCTAGGGCGGCTAGGAGGGGGGGGGGGGTCGCAAGGGCGGCTTGATGAGGCCGCGAGGGCGTCACGGAAGGGCCGCGAGGGCGGAGCGAAAGGGCCGCGAGGGTGGCGCGACGCGACGGAGCCGCGAGGGCGGCGGATCGGGGCCGCGAGGGCGGCGCGACGCGGTCGCTAGGGCGGCGCGACGGGAAGGGGCCGCGAGCGCGACGCGACGGGGCCGAAAGCGCGACGCGACGATGCCACTAAGGCGGCACGACAGGGTCGAGAGAGGGGAGCACGACTCGGGCATTTGAGAGCGCGCTCCGGGCAGGAAAAAAAGGGTGGTGGGCCCTAGGAACAGTTACCACAGGGGAACCTGCTCGATACCATGAGAAAATGAACGAGAATGAAATGACTAAGGGAAAGTTGGGTACAATTACAAACCCTAGAAAGCTGTACCCCATATGTGTGTCAGAACATTATAGCTTATGCTGCTGTGTAGGCTATAGTGGGGTATCCCATAGGGGGTACAACAGAATTAGGGTTTCCTATATGTACTCACTTCATTCATAGTTGATTCATTCGCGTTCTTTATTTCACATGGAATCAGAGCAGGTTCCCTTCAGGGACTGCTTCTAGGGCCCACCAGAGCGCGCCCCGAGGCGCGTTTTCCTTTTTTTTTTAGCGACCCTCCGTGTCGCCCCTAGCGGCCCGTCGCGCCGCCCTTACCTACGCGGCCCCGCCGCCCTTACGTCGCGGCCCCGCTGCCCTCACCTACGTGGCCCCGCCGCCCTTCCTTCGCGGCCCAGCCGCTCTGCTCACGCGGCCCCGCCGCCCTCTGCTAAGCGGCCCCGCCGCCCTGCTACAGCGGCCCCACCGCCCTGCACTTCGCGGCCCCGCCGCCCTTCCTTCGCGGCCCCGCCACCCTGCACTTCGTGGCCCTGCCGCCCTCTGCTAAGTGGCCCCGCCGCCCTTCCTTCGCGGCCCCGCCGCCCTGCTAACGCGGCCCCGCCGCCCTTCCTTCGCGGCCCCGCCGCCCTCTGCTAAGCGGCCCCGCCGCCCTGCTACAGCGGCCCCACCGCCCTGCACTTCGCGGCCCCGCCGCCCTTCCTTAGCGGCTCCGCCGCCCTGAACTTCGCGGCCCTGCCGCCCTCTGCTGAGCGGCCCCGCCGCCCTTCCTTCGCGGCCCCGCCGCCCTGCTAACGCGGCCCCGCCGCCCTTCCTTCGCGGCCCCGCCGCTCTGCTCTCGCGGCCCTGCCGCTCTCTGCTAAGCGGCCCCGCCGCCCTGCTACAGCGGCCCCGCCGCCCTTCCTTCGCGGCCCCGCCGCCCTGCACTTCGCGGCCCCGCCGCCCTAAGCATCATCGGCCCCGCCGCCCTGCACTTCGCGGCCCCGCCGCCCTTCCTGCGCGCCCCCCCCGCTCTGCTTAGCGGCCCGGCCGCTCTTCTAGCCCACTGCACCACCCTGCAGCGTGCACCCGAGCAGCCGACCGCCGCGCCGCCGAGTACCGGAGGAGCCGAGCCGCCCAGCCGCTGTGCAGCCGAGCCGCCCAGCAGCTGAGCCGCCGAGCCGCCCGACCGCCGAGCCGCCTTGCCGCCCTGCTGTCCAGCTGCCGAGCCGCCCAGCCGCCGAGCCGCCCCGCAGCCGAGCCGCCCTGCAGCCGAGCCGCCCTTCTGCCGAGCCGCCTGTCCTGCCCTGTCTGGTGAGCACGCCCCACTGCTACTGCGTGCCCTGCCCCCACTGCTTGCACTGCTAGTCTGTCGTCATGGCTACCCCTAGTGTCCTCGCTTTTGACGCTGGGGGTCGAGCCATTGACTTTGAGGTCTGGGTCGACGACCTGCAGCTGTTTTTACAGTGCGATAGGGCGGACGGTCTTTCTCTCTTTGACCTCACCTCTGGCGCCTCTCCTGCTCCTGCTGCTGATGCTGACCCCACTGTTCGCTCTCAGTGGGCCACCCGCGATGCTGCTGCACGTCTTGCTGTGCGTCGCCACCTCCCTACCACTGAGCGCGCGCACTTTAGTCAGTACAAGAGTGCTCAGACCTTGTACGATGCTGTAGTTGCGCGCTACTCTTCCCCTGCCACTGCTGCACTGAGCCGCCTCATGCTACCGTACCTCTTTCCTGATCTTGCTGCCTTTCCCATTGTCGCTGACCTCATTACGCACCTCCGCACTAGTGACACCCGCTACCATACCGCCCTTCCTGCTGAGTTCTGCGCCAAGAACCCCCCCCCCCCCCCCCCCCCCCCCCCCATGTACATCGCTCTCTATTACATAGTCACTCGCCTCCCTGACTCCCTTCGCGTAGTCCGGGACCACTTCCTCTCAGTCTGTCCCACCACTCTCACTGTTGACCTCCTCGAGAAGGCCCTCCTAGCGGCAGAGAAGAGCATAGTCGCTGTAGGAGCCTCTCGTGGAGACCCGCGCACCCCCATCTTTGAGGGGTGTTCTCCTTCCCCCCTGCTGCCCTCTGTTGCCTCTGCTGCTGCTGCCGACCTGCTTGGTCTTGAGTCGGTCGGCGCGGCGTCTGCCCCTACCGGGAGACGCCGCCCTGGCAAGGGCAAGGGGGGCAAGGGCGCGGGTGGAGCTGGCGGGGGCGGTGGAGGTGGCGGTGGAGGCGGCGGAGGGAGTGGGGGTGGCGGTGGGAGTGGTGGCGGGGGTGGTGGCGGTGGTGGCGGCAGCGGAGGCGGAGGCGGTGGCGGCGGCGGCGGTGGGAGCGGAGGCGGCGGTGGTGGCGGAGGTGGAGGCGGCGGTGGCGGAGGAGGTGGAGCCGGTCGGGGTAGTGCCCCGCAGCGGAGCGGCTCTGGTGGTGGTCAGCGCCAGCAGCAGCAACAGCAGCAGCGTTCTCGGGACG